ATTTAAGACTATAATCATCAATTTTTTTTTTTTTTCCTTTCTATTGACTTGAAATTCAGGAAATAAAAACTGATTTGTTTCATTGAATCTTACAGAAATTAATTTTAAGAAATGAAAAATAAATGTCCAATTTGTTGTAGACTATTTTAATGGACATTAAAATATTATTTTTTTTCTTATTTATTTAATCAAGAATTTTTAAAATTTAAAACTAATTCATCCTAAAGAAAACACTCGATTAACTAACATAAAATAAAGCTTTGAATTAATTAATTAAAAAAAATATATAAATAAATAAAATTTTATAGGCTTGTTTTAATGTAAAAAAAATAATTTTTTATGCATATTAAATTTAATAGAATTAAACAATATAAAAGACATAAATAAAATAAATGACAACTATAAAATTCGAGTTTATTTCTGTTAGAAAAAAAAAAGTCATTTTTATTGAGGAATTCGCGTTAAAGTAGAATTCATTGTATAATAACTTACTTAGCTTAATAAATCAAAGAGAAAGTGACTTAGTAGATCATTGAAGACAAAGTGGGACAATCGGCGTATTCAAAATAAAGTCTATCAGTATGTCTCCTATAATCTTACCGAAACACATTCTACAAGTTACCGCCTACATCAGAAAACAGAAGAAGGGAAGACATTTCTTCTCTCTTATCTCCCTCTTGCTGTTGTTGTCATTATAGTCTGACACTGATTGAAGACATTGTACCAATCACTTTTCGCTATTCACAGCACGAAAGCAAAAATATTTTTTCTTTATCGCTTTTCGCATACACAGTACATTGTCATCATATTATAGAGGTTATACGGCATAAATATTATATAAATAGGGAAAGGGAGTTTACTATTACACATCTTTCTTCTCCTTTTCATATAACATCTTTCTCTTTCTCACAATAAAATTTAATATATTTTATACGTAAATTTGCAAAAATTATAGTTTACGTTTTATATATTATTTATTTTTTGATTAAAATACTACGATCTTTTTCATTAATTATTTAAGAAATATAGACGAGGTATAATCTAGTCGCATCTCTCTCTTTGTCTTTCAATTAAATATAAAAACTTATAGATTATATCAATATATTGTACAGTTTCCTTTATATATATATATATATTGTTTATTTTTATTAAAAGTTATATATGTATAGTTTTAGAAAATATAAAGTATAGGAAGTAGCAAAAGAGATTATAAAGCTGTTCATTTTTTTCTTCTTTCCCCGACGAAAATGTAGTAATATATAAATCAGAAGATAGACAGGAAAGGAGAGATGGATAAATATTTAATTTATTTACACTTATAAGAATTTGTATATAAAGCATTTAAACATGTTTTTAGTGATGTCGTTATTTTTATTTTCCAAAAGAATATAACGTGAAAAGTTGCGAATGTGAAAGTAGATAGATGCTTTTCTAGAATCTTACGGATGTGTTCTTAAATATTTTAATAGGTCTATTATATACATTTATTATTTTTTTACCTTTTAAAAATCTATAACATTATAAAACTCTACTACTATTTGAAATTTAAAGATTTAAAACTTTTACAAAAATATATACAGTATTTATATAAAGTATTTGTAAATTTATACTTAAAATTTATATCTGTTAATCTATAGTTTTATATATATATATAAATTAACCTATAAAGTATATATAACTTAATAAATTAATATAATAATAATTTTTCACATAAAATAGCAGAATAATTAAAATTTTATTTTATGATTTAATTATTATTTAATCGTTTAAAATTTATAATATTGTATTTAGTTTTATATTTATATTAATTAGTTTCAATTAATATTAATATTATTTTAGTTTTATTTAACGAAGAAATAACAGAAATTCCTTGAGATTTTTAACAGAAAATTCAATTCAAATATCATTATTTTTTTAAGGAGCAGGGATAATAAATAAATAAATAAATGTCTATATTTTGATTTATTTAAGATATAAAGATTTATTATATATTTTGAAAGATATTAACTTAATAATCTAAGCTGTTACTAATCGATTTATTCCTATTTAATCGATTATTTATCGATGCAAATGTAGTTAAACTATTAAGAAGTATCGTTTTGCTGTCATCCTTGGCTCATTTCCAAATGATTTACATATAGCATGCAAAATGAAAAGAAGAAAAAGGAGAAGAAGAATAAAAAATAAAAAATAAAATAAAATAAAATAAATAATTCACCCGATTTAAAAGCACAACTATCGCTGAATAGATCTATCAATGTATTCTCTATGTCGGAATTGACAGTTAACAAGATAATTTAAATATATTTTTAGAAGGATAAATAATATTTTTGAATATGTTTAAAGTAATTGGATATTTCTTTAACCAATTCAGATTTTATTTTCGTAAAAGTTATCAAAATTTTAATTATAATTAATCAATAAAAATCGCTTAATAAGTAATTAAAACTTGATAGTTTTATCGCTAATATATTTACTATCTTATCGTTTTTTTCCCCTCCTCCTTTAGTGATCGGGAAAAATATAATTTAAAAGGCAATTATCTTAAGATGATTTTTTTATTTTTTATTTTTTAAGTTGTAGACGAGATGATGATTTACTTAATTTGATCTTTAAATAAATAATTTAGTCTAAATTACGATTACAGACTAAATAAGTTCTCGAGAGTACAACCCGATAAGAAGTACAATTTAATTATTTATTAAAACATTTTATATTTAACCACCTAATCTAAAAACAAATAGAGGGAGTAGAATGAAGAATATTTATTAACTTCATTTAAAAAAAGAATACGATAAAGCTCTAAGAAGAAAGATTGTGGTTTGAAAATTATTTCCTAATTGCTCTTAAGTAGAGATTTCCATTAAAAAAAAGAAAGAAAGAGAGGAAAAAAAAAACCTTTACTGCCCTGCAGATGGTTGTGATAACGTCTGGTAGCAGCTTTTTTCTTTCTTTTTTTTTTTTTTTTTAATTTCTCTTCTGTCAGCCTAAGTGGCTAGGATAATTGATAATTTAATCAAAGGTTCACAGGAGAAGAAGTTCAGAAAAAATGGCAAGATAGTGTTAGACTAATGATTACTAATTACAATTACCTGAAACACTGACCTGAGTAATTGGCGCTTTAATTTATTCTGCTTATTCACCGGAAATTTGGTTTAAAAAAATATTTTTTTAAAAATGTATTCATAAAAATACATATTCGGTTGAACAGTTTGAATAATTTACGCTTTCTATTGTTTCTTCAATGAAGATGTTTATGCTTAAAGAGTTTCTAA